TTTGGCTTTCATTTCTCCAGGTTCAGATAGTGCTAAAGTGAGTGTCGGCCCGCTTGATAAAAAGTGTCCCGGGGTCAAATAATCCAGATCTTCCACGTCTTCAGTTAATGGGCATAATGGTCTGCTGTTCATAATTGCTTCTATTTTAGTTAAGAGCGTGGCGAATTGTTCATAGGTGAGTTTTTGCTGCCCGAGGACTCTTTTCAGGTGTTTTTTCATTTATCGTACAGCGGCTTCCCACAATCCGCCGGCCGATGGCCAGGATGGCGCGTTAAAATGCCATTGGATTTTCAGTTCATTGACTTCTTTGAAGAACTCTGGAGATAGCATAGTTTTGTATTTTTCAAACTCTTCGTACAGTTCCTTCGAGGCCCCCACGAAGTTGGTTCCGTTATCGGAGAAGATGTGTTTAGGAGGGCCTCTTCGGTTGCACATTCGTTGTAGTGCTGCGATGAAGGTTTGTGTCGTGAGATCTGAGACGAGTTCTATATGCACTGCCTTTGTACACATGCATACAAAAATGGCTATGTAGCCTTTGCAGGTTCGTATACCACGTCCTTTATTGATTTTGACCTCATAGTGGCCTGTAAAGTCGATAGCAGTATTTTCGAAAACTTTCGATGTTGGTGTAATTCTTTCTTTAGGAAGATTACCCATTAGCTGGTAATTCTGTGTTGTAGAATAGCGGCTGCATATGACGCATTTGCGTAATACCTTTTTGACGGCTCTATTTCCACCGACAATCCAATATTGCGTTCTTGTGTGCGCCAGTGTAACCCGAGCCCCGCCATGTAGTGTTTTCGTGTGTGACTTCTCGATCAGTAGCTGAGTTAGTCGCCCTTCGTGGGGTATTATGGCTGGGTGCTTCATATTTGATGGTAGTGCTGAGTTTTCTAGACGCCCTTGGACGCGCAGAATCCCATCGTTGTTATCTAAGAACGGGTGGAATTTCAAGATGTTGCTCTTATTAGGCAGTTTTCCTTTTCTTTTCAAGGATAGTATTTCCTCTTCAAAATAATCTTCTTGCACGGATTTGATTATGTATGTTTTCGCCTTTTCAATTTCCGTCAAGTTCAGTTCGTTGCTATGTTGTTGTGTCGACTTGTTTCGCAATGCATCAGCAAAACGTCGCACCCAGGCGAGTATTCTTGCAATACGATCTATGTCGCTGTATTTATCAAGTAAATTGTGAATAAATACATTCTTGAGTCGCACGGGTTCCGTTACGAAACAGTTTTGGACTAAACCTTCTTTTGTTTCGAAGATTTCAGATGACGTTTTTTCTTTTTCCTCTGTCGTCTTGAGCCATGTAGGACCTTCAAACCACAGGGTAAAGTTTAGTAGTTTTGACGGTGAGAGACCTCTTGTCGCGCAGTCGGCGGGGTTTTCGTTTGTTTTCACGTAACCCCAGTTTGAAGCAGGAACGATGTTTGTTATTTTTATCGTTCTATTGGTGATATATTTTTCCCATTTAGATGATCTTCCCTGGAGCCACGCTAGGACTACTTTGGAGTCGATCCAACAGGATATTTTTAGGTCGTAGTCTTCTAAAGCCTTGATGACCTTTTCAAGCAGTTGCGCTAGCAATAGCGCTCCGCAGAGTTCCAGCTTTGGTATAGTTGTTTTATTTTTAATCGGCGCGACTTTCGTTTTCGCTGCTAAGAGGGTTGTAACGTAGGCTCCGGTCGACGGTGACTTGGTGCGGCTGTATATTACGCACGAATAAGCATTTTCGCTTGCGTCGCTGTAGCCGTGCAGTTCTATAGACTTGCTTGTATTGTTTATCCATCTTGGGATTTTGATTAGATTAATGTTTGGTAGTTCGGACTTTATTTTTATCCATTGTTTCGTTATTTCGGCGGGTAGTAGTTCATCCCATCCAATTTTATGGTACTTTTCAGTCCATAGTTTTTGGAATATTAGCTTCGCTTGGACGGTCACTGGTGCTAGCCATCCTAGTGGGTCGTAGATCTTGCTAATTTCCGATAGTAATTGTCGTTTGGTGTAGGATTTCACTTCGTTGCTTGTGGGTGTTTCGCAGGTAAAGCTGAATGTGTCATTTGTGTTATTCCATGCTAACCCCAGTGTTTTGCTGAATTCTTCGTTTTGTTTGAAGTTGAAATCATTATTTTTGGCTTTTTCGTTTTCTTGCAGTTTTTTCAAAATTGATGCCTCGTTGCTGGCCCACCCAACTAACAACTTGGTCCTATAAAAAACAGACTTAACGACTTTTGGTTATATAAAGGTCGTATGGTGGTAAGCAGAATTTCACTGAGTTGTGTAGTAGTGTCTTATTCGACCTTTTAGTCGTAAACGTCTAAAGTCGTATAATTTGGTCGAGTAAACGTTTATACGACTTAATTATACGACCATCGTATAAAGGTCGTATAAATGATCGCTATACGATTAAATTATAGGACTAATCGTCGCTGTTGGGACCATTATATAACCTTCAGTCAGGCCACCGACTGTTACTAGATCATAAGGTATATAAAGATCGTATCATTATCTTTTATAAACCGCATAGTCATATACAAGTCGCCAGTGCGACCGTTATATGACTTTTAGTCAGTTCATCGACTGTAACCAGACCAAAAGTTGTATAAAGGTCGTATAAAAGTCGAATAAATTTCCTGTCTAAATGCCGCATAAAAGTTGCCTTTGCGACTGTTATATATCTTTTAGTCATGCCACCGACTGTTACCAGACCATTAGGTATATAAAGGTCGTATTACTTGTAATAAACCACGAAGTCATATAAAAGTCGCTATTGCGACCGTAAGATGATTCTAAGTCAGGCCACCGACTGTTACCAGACCATTAGGTATATAAAAGTCTTATTATGTCTTTTAATAAACCACATAGTTGTATTAAGGTGGCCATGGCGATTCTTATACGACTTGAAGTCTGCTAGCGACTGTTATAAGACCATTAGTTATATAACGGTCGTATTAAGGTCTTACCACATTCTCAAAAAACTTCGCTGTTTCGACAGCTTTATGACTTTTATACATGCCACCGACTGTTACCAGACCATTAGGTATAAAGGTCATATTATTACCTTTAGTAAACCGCACAGTCGTATAAAAAACGTCATTGCGACCTTTATATGACTTTCAGTCAAGCCTACAACTGTAATTTGATCGTTAGTTATATTATGATCATATTATTGCCTGAAACACAACGCAATGTCGTATAAACGTGGTGTAACATACCGATTAAACGACTAAAAGTCCTAAAAAGGCTATTTATATGACACTTAAAAACCTTTTGATTGATTAGTAGTCGTACATAATACTCCTTCACAACTACTTGACCTCGCTGTGGTGTGAATTATTGCGGCCATGGTTCTGTAGGTAATATATGTTCGAACGGACGGACAGACTGGATGTATGTATGGATGAATGAATGAATGGATGGACGGACGGATGGACGAATGGACAAACAGTCATAAAATTAAGCCAAATCCTTTGCAACACGATTTTGTGTTCAACAAAACGTGTTGCGCCGACCCCAGGTAATTGGGATGAGGGCAGGAAGATGGCATTGATAAGTAGGTATGTGAAATTAACGATTAAATCAGATCACTACTGCCAGCCTTAAGAATAGTTCATCATGTTGTGTAAAATACCCCCGTACATTTTTTGTACGGGGCTATAGTTGGTCCTGATTCCATTCATCATGTCGTACTTCATTATGTCGTACATTACTCTGTCAGCAATAGTTATGCTCTACAATACAATGTCGTACATTATAAGGACTCGTCGCATCAATACGGCTTACTATCACTTGTCTGACAGATGTTATCTTACGTCTCACCGCGTTTCCTCCGTGGAGTACATACAATGCACGATATACTCAATGCACAACACGATAATGCCCGACAACGAATTGTACAACAGAATAATGTACGGCATTGTGGATAGGCTTGAAATACGGGCCCAGACTAATAATGTACAGTGCTGCAAATAGAATCAAAACAAGTTACGTCACAGCGGATGAAGTGAAGTGACAGTGTTGGCTGTAATCGACTTATACAGGGTGTTAAAAAAAGTAGTACGTTCCTTTATACCACAAGTTCTATTACGTAGGTATAACATAGTGTCTTGACCATGTTTAAAAGATAAATTAAAAATATTTTATATAAAACATAATTTCAAAAAATAAATTGAAAAGTTCAACCCTAGGTCTGAGCGTGATAGCGCACATCGTTACTGTCACGTTTAGCTGCGGTTGCACCGTTGTAGACCTTATTACGCGCTGTGAAGGAACAGTGCATGCATAGTTATTGGAGTGGTAATTGACAGTACATACACTGTAAAGCGCTAGAGTTGAACTATTTGATTAAAAGATTTTAAAAATATTTTTTTATCATTAATTGAACACCCTTAACATACTTTATTATACGATAGAACAAACTATGTATTTTTCCTAACTCCTTGTAGATTAATTATTCGAACCTAACATACAAGGCAACCCAGCGAGGCGGGACGGTGGTTTTGAGGGTGCAGCCCCCCACAATAAAAGACAACCTTTAACACAAATACAAAACAGTAGGTTAGGTAAGGTTAGAGTTGGAGCGAACAAATTGAGCGACTAAGCTCAATAAAGAATATTATATAATTATATTATTTTAAATAAAAACGATATCGATTTAGTTAGGAATGTATGTAAAATTGAAAATAAGAAAAAGAAAAGATGACGTACATCGACCGGGGATCGAACCCGGGCCGCATGGGTAAACGCCCCACCGCTCTGCCACTGAGCTATCGATGCACGGCCGATGGACGCCAAATTTTCTACCTCTTGATGCTCGTCTCCAAGCGACGATCCAGCGACATCTATAGTAAGTATTTAGAACTTACTACATGGTTAGTCCACATTATGAGTGGAATTCAAACCATATGATGAAGCTTGCTTAATCAATCTATTTTGATTGTAATGCACTCACAGTGCTATATTATTCTCACAAGTGAAAATAAGAAAGAGAAAAGATGACGTACATCGACCGGGGATCGAACACGGGCCGCATGGGTAAACGCCCCACCGCTCTGCCACTGAGCTATCGATGCACGGCCGATGGACGCCAAATTTTCTACCTCTTGATGCTCGTCTCCAACCGACGATCCAGCGACATCTATAGTAAGTATTTAGAACTTACTACATGGTTAGTCCACATTATGAGTGGAATTCAAACCATATGATGAAGCTTGCTTAATCAATCTATTTTGATTGTAATGCACTCACAGTGCTATATTATTCTCACAAGTGAAAATAAGAAAGAGAAAAGATGACGTACATCGACCGGGGATCGAACCCGGGCCGCATGGGTAAACGCCCTACCGCTCTGCCACTGAGCTATCGATGCACGGCCGATGGACGCCAAATTTTCTATCTCTTGATGTTCGTCTCCAAGCGACGATCCAGCGACATCTATAGTAAGTATTTAGAACTTACTACGTGCATCGATAGCTCAGTGGCAGAGCGGTGGGGCGTTTACCCATGCGGCCCGGGTTCGATCCCCGGTCGATGTACGTCATCTTTTCTATTTCTTATTTTCACTTGTGAGAATAATATAGCACTGTGAGTGCATTACAATCAAAATAGTATGTAAAATTATCGATCAAGTCACATTACTACGCTACTACTCACGTGATATCTCCGATCACAATGTCGTTCATTACACCCCCGTACATTTTTGGTACGGGGTGAAGGATGGCGACATTGTTTTGATTCCATCCATAATGTTGTATTGTATTGTGTTCCTCTGGTGTGGTGTACATTATACTGTCGGCCAGTATTATGATGAACAATACAATGTCTTTCAAGGTTTTCACTTTCTAAACGGTACCCTGAAAATGGCGGACAGAAAATGGTTTCTAGTCATATAACCCGACTTTTAGTCATAAAGTGTCCTTTAACAGTCGCGATCACGACATAAAGTTGTATTAACGTTATATAAATAAATAATGAATTAAAAACATAAATAAAATAATTCAAATTGTTATTATTTGTAGGGGGCATTAAAATTTTGTTTGAATAATAACACAAAATAGTCGATAAAACAATTTCCCACTTGAAAACTCAACACTAAGCAGTTCCAAACACCATTCACAACTTTTCAGATTATATTCGATAACAAACATGGCAGACATTAATTATTTTGAATGATTTGTTTGTCTTTAACCTCACTTTCACTCGTTTGATAGCACACTGAAGTCCGTGCACGATAAAGTAACGCCGATGACCACAACACGATTTCAGGTCGTGTAAATGTCAGTAATACGACCACTACACGACTTCTGATCGGTTTAAAGACAATAATACGACCACAACACGGCTAAATGGTCGAATAACAGTCACTCATATGATGGTTATTCGACCATATGTCGCGAAACAGACTTGTATATGACTTTTACCGGACTTAAGCCCATTAATACGACCTTAATACGATCTTTATACGGACAAAAGTCATATAATTTGTGCCCAAATCGCGTCGTATATACGTTAACATAACCACTATACGACCAAAACTATCCGACTTCAAGACGTAACGATAACGTTGTCCCGACCATTATACGACCAAAACTTGTTAGTTGGGCATTTACGCAGGATAAAACAGCCTTTTTTCAGTAACTCGTAGAGTTCATGTTGTAGTTGCCTTGTTAGCTCGATGGTATGATGTCCCGTGATGACGTCATCCATATAGAAGTCGTTTAGTAGTGCCTTTCTCGCTAAGGGGTAGGCGTGGCCTTCATCTTCGGCTAGTTGTAGTAGAGTGCGCATGGCGATTAATGGCGCTGCTTTAGTACCGTAGGTTAAGGTACATAGTTCCATTTCTTGGAGTGGTTCTGTAGGCGATTCCCTCCAGATTATCTTTTGCAGATTGCGTTGATCTTGATGAATAAGGATTTGGCGATACATTTTTTCTATATCCGCCGTTAGTACGTATTTGTAGCTTCGCCACTTGATTATCAATGATAAGATATCTTTTTGTAGGTTCGGCCCTTTTTCCATCAAGTCGTTTAAGCTTAAACCTGAGTCTGTTTTCATAGATGCGTTAAATACAGTTCTCAGTTTAGTTGTAAGTGAAGTTTTCCTTAGCACTCCGTGGTGCGGGTGATAAACTTGTAGTTGTTTATCTGATTTTTCAGCGGGTTTCATGTGACCCATGTCGATGTATTCTTTGATAAATTGCTTGTAAAGTTTCGCAAAGTGCTCTTGTCTCGCTATTTTCTTTTCCAGTTGAAGAAATTGTGCGATGGCTTGGCGTTTAGAGTTTCCGAGATCTTGCTCGTAGTTAGGCTTCATTGGCATTTTTACCACGTAGCGCCCGTTGTCCAACCTCTCAGTTGTGTTGACGTAGTGCTCTTCACAATAGTCGCTGCTCGAGCTTTGTTTAGGTTCCGTTGGGACCTCTTCTGTCTCCCAAAAATGAGACAAATTGTCTAGCTCATGTATGGTAACTAGACAATTCAGTTCTTGTTGTGTTTCTTGTGTTTCACCGTGGACTATCCAGCCTAGTTGAGTGCGTTGAGCGACTGGTAGATTTTCGTTTAATCTCAGGAGTCCATCCATGATCACTTTAGAGTAGATATCGACGCCTAGTAGCAGGTCGATGGGGCCCGGTATATTGAATTTTGGGTCCGCTAGTTTGATGTTGTCGAGATGTGTCCAATTCTCCGTGTTTATCTTAGAGTTTGGCAGATTGTTAACAAGTTTACGCATTATTAACGTTTCAGTGCTGAACGTATAGTCTGAATGAGTCGACTTGCATTCTAGTCTGATCAGCCCTTTGCTGGTGCCCTTTATAGAGCCGATGCCAGTTACCGTTACCGATGTTTTTTGTCTCGGTAAGTTCAAAAGTTGTGCTGTGGACTCTGAGCAGAGCGATACCTCTGAACATTGGTCTAGAAGTGCTCTTAGTACGATATAATTGCCTTCTTTGTTCTTTACGTTGATCAGGACGGTTGTCATCAGTTTTTGTTGGTTAAACCCGTTGATGTGGTAAGTTGATGGTCTTGATTTGTTTAGGGGTTGTCCCTTGAAGTTGTCATCATGAAGTAGTGTATGATGTTTGTATCCACATTTTAGACACCGTTTCTTCGAGTTGCATACAGGGTGTTTATTTGAGGTAGCACCCTGTATATCATTATTTCCATCATGCGCATAAAGACAATTACGGCAAATCCTAAGTTCATTCACCGTTCGGTTTCGAGTTGCAATATCCATTTCTAGGAAAGTAGTACATTGCCGCAGTGCATGGCCGTTTTTGCATAGCGGGCAGTTTTGAAGTGTAGTGTGGTATGTTTTTGTCCACTTTTCTGATCGGTTAAAGTTCATTGGCTTCGATTCATAATTACTTTTATATTGGTTTGTTGAATAGTTTGGCTTTGGAGCGCCCTTTTTGGTACGGGATGTTTCTAATGTCATGAACTTCATCTCCAGGAATTCCATGAACTCGTCAAGATCTGGTAGCTCTCTGGAGTTTGCCATGCTTCGTATGTAGTCGCCGTGGGTGGTGTCATCCAGCTTTGATGATAGAATATGCACGATGAGTGGCCCCCACACAGGAATTTCGATATGGATATTTTTCAATGCGTTCAAACATTCTTTAGTTGTATCGTGGAATTTTTTTGATAGTTGATGCGTTCGCTTTCTCGATCGATGGCTGATTGAGTAGCGTGTCTATGTAAGACGTAAACAGCAGCCGTTTATTGTCGTAACGATGCTGTATGATTTCAAGGCATGAATCATAGTTGTCTGCGCTGACTGATAGGTGTTTTATTAACTTCTCAGCCTCGCCTTTTAGTTTAGACTTCAGAAACTTCATTTTCTGAGTCTTGTTTATAGTTGGATTATTATGGATTGTCTCGAAGAATAAGTCTCGAAAAGACACCCAGTTGTTGTAGTCTCCGTTGAATTCCGGAAGTTCGATTTTAGGGGTAGATTTCTCGTAGTGTGAACTCTCCCATATTTTTCTGTTTAGATCTTCTTTCAGCTTATCATAAGTTTTCTCCCAATGACTGAAGAGATTTTCGTATTTTTCGTTGGATCCATTGAGTAAGTAGCTGAGTTCCCAATGGACCTTATCAATCGCGTCCCACTTGGATTGTAGTATATTCAGCTGATCTTGCAGTTGCCATTTTTCGTGCATCCTACGGAGATTGATCTTAGAAACAGCTCTCTCCAATGCACTGAAATTGCATACTTGTTTACGTGTTAGTGAGTTCACGTTGTCGTTATTGCCTTCATTTTGAAACTCAGGGTCCGGGGGTTTTTCTTGGCGGCCCTCTCCCCCGGCAGTCGTATCTTCAAGGCCACCCAAAAGCTCAATTTTCATATTCATCATCTCTCTTAGAGTCTTGCTGTACACTGCCTTAGTTGTAGTAAATACCTTTTTAGTATAATAATCGGCATCTCCCCTCGTTTCTTCGAATTTTTTCAAGATTTCATTATTGCAGCAGAATTCACTCCAGTGGGCTTCCAAAGCGTTGATGCGTTTGTTTAGATAGTCAATGTGTTTTCAATCCGCTCCATCTTTCCCAAAGTTGGTTGCTATTTGATTGATATTTTGATAGCTTTTTTCTTGCTTCGTTATAAGCTGGTTAAATTCTTCGTCTTATGCTAAATACTAATAAACAACAGGCCCTTAGATACCTAGATCAGTATTTAAGCAAGCTACATCCACCGCAATATTTTTTACCTTCTATAACGCTAGATGCCCTTAATAAGGTACTTAAAAGCATGTTGAAAAAATCAGGAACATTGGACATCTACGACATTTCTGTTAATATTATTTTATCAATTTGGCCAGTGTTGGCAGTTAAATTAGTAAGCCTAATAAATGAAATGTTTCGCGATGGAGTATACCCTGATTCCCTTAAAACCACTAGGGTCTGTCCTGTCTATAAGGGAAAAGGAGATAAGACACAAGTAGATAGCCACAGACCAATAACAATAGTTCCAAACATCTCGAAAATTATCGAATCGATTGTATCTAAAAGTCTAATGGAACATCTGGAAACAAATGACTTACTGACAGACAGACAATACGCATATAGGAAAGGGA